GATATGAGGGAGGAAAAAGTGGCTAAGGGAGAGAGAGAGGACAGAGGAGTCCTAGGGATAGTCAAGCTCAGACAGGAAAGCTTTGGCTGAAGGTTGTTGCATTACCAGTAATACTAAACTTCAAAGAGGTCAGTTTGGACACTGAGGGTATGTCTACACTACATGGCTCCGTCGACGGAGCCATGTAGTGTAGACATACCCTCAGTGTCCAAACTGACCTCTTTGAAGTTTAGTATTACTGGTAATGCAACAACCTTCAGCCAAAGCTTTCCTGTCTGAGCTTGACTATCCCTAGGACTCCTCTGTCCTCTCTCTCTCCCTTAGCCACTTTTTCCTCCCTCATATCCTACCACAAGGATTTAGCAGCATTTTAATAGTTACATGCAGAGTTCTACCATCTATTTATTGGGTCAGAAAGGCCAAGCGCTCCCTGTTATAGCATGCCTTCAATTGGAGAAAGGCAGAAAAAAGAGTAGTAGGAGCTGTGAAAAACTGCCGCTTCTATTTACCTTCTTTTGCTTCAGCTCAGAAGTACAGTGCATAGATCCACATTGCTGAAATTTCATTATCATGTCCTACAACTGAAGCATTTGCTGTGAACCTGAATCTAAAACCTTCAGGCTGTCCACATTTTTCTCCTTGGTGACCTTCAGCAGCATGAATGACTATAATGATAGAAATAAAAGCAAACATATGGTTCAAAGACATTAGGGAAAAACTGAATGTGTGTACATGTTTGCACGACATATGAACAGGAATAATGTTTATATCATATTGATCTTTGGGAATAAATGGAATTTTACTTGAAATGATGCAATATTCAATAATCACAACTTTCCCTCTTAGTAGTAGGAAAGAGAGATTAGCTGACTAGTGATGAATAAGTAGTTTGAATAAGGCATACAGAAAATATCATCACCACACAACTTGAAAACACAGCACATTAGTAAGCACGCTATTAAAACTTGTTCAAAATTTGCAATTTTATTTCTATTATAGAATTGTTTGTCACATGGAACAATATAGAGAATGGAACATTGTTAGCTAATCTGCTATAATCTTTTCAGCTAAGAGCAACAGGCAATTGATAAGGAAGGTCAGGCTGGATCAGGATTTGCATAAGAGATGGCTAAGGAATGCCTATGTGCTTTAGGAAAGCCTGTTGGCAATGTGCAGCTGAAGGAGAAATATCCTTTGGGTGAGACATGGTCCAGAGATTTGGACCAAAGAATCATGTTAGACTTCAGTGATGTAACTAGTCAAACACCACGTCAGGTATATAAATTTAGTGCCCCTAAAATGCTCCCCAGAGGTTTGATTATGTAAGATATTTTCCACATCCAGTCTGAAAGTGTTGCAAAATACTGTTGTGCACTGTTAAAACAATTGCCTTGTTTCTCCCGAAGAGTGTCTGCAGTTCAGTTTCATTGCCACACATTTGTGGGATATTAAAAGTTTTACTATCATTTAACTTCAACTTTTCATAAATTACAAGAATACTAGTTGAATCTGACAATTATTGTGTGTCTGTATTTCTTTTGATACTCTCAGGTGATGATCTGCTTACAAACTGTGGCTGATATGTCACAAATGAGCTCTGAGTTAATCTGTTATCTTAAACAAAAATTAGTGAGGCAAAACTGGTCTTGTAATTATTTATTTGGCTTTTTTAACAATACCGTACACACTTTGCTGGCAAAAGTCATTTCTCTCAAAGGAAATATTTCTTTGGAAAGTCAGTATCTATAGTCTATTGAAACCAATGTAGCAATTTCAAAGAAAGGAATAAAAGCCTCTGTCTCAAACCTCATTTCATGCTTTTTTTGTTTCCAGTGAGCATATTTTAGGGACTAATCAGCCTTATAAAAAGTACCACTGTTAATCTACTGTTTGTCTTGGTCTCCGTTGCAGCTGCTTAAGAGAGAGAGCAAACAAAACCAGAATTAAGGTCATTCCATTTAAATCCTTCAGAAAAGAAGACAAGAACTAAATTATTGCTGAGAATTACATAGAGGAAAAACCCTGGATAAGATAACTATTGTTTATTATTTGCCAGGTCCAGAGTGGCATTACATTTACATATTTGTGAAGGGATTACATTAACATTTTATGAGATTAGTTGTTAGCATGGGAAGATTCTCTGATACACTGTTGACACCACTTAAAAGTACATTCCTGTGTTTTCAGATACCTAACGTAGATATTATATATGGCTTGTATGGAATATCCAAAACCTGGCAAATAAATCAGCACTCATGATCATTTAATGCAATTTATTCAGATATGTACTTCAGGCCTACTAAACTATAAAGGATTTCCAGTTAAATCTAATAGAAATTGATATAAGAGGAAATAGCAAACAAAATAGCATTATCAGTATCCTATATTGATATTAAGTCTTATCATAGATCACAAGTTTGAATATAGTAGAATTTGAGTAAAGATTATATTATAATGAACACATATTCCTGACTCTGCTGAAAGACTTAAATCTATATCTTCAAATATATAGAAGACTAAAACATAGCTATTACAAAGTATCTATTTTATGATAATAAAAAGCAATCATTCTCTAGTGGTCAGCAAATAGCATAATTGCATGAGTATAGGGGTTTAGCCCATCAAAAAGCCATAAAGTTTTCCTTCAAACTGAGATATATTCACTGGGAGCTATTTTATAAATAAAACACGGTAGTTTTTAGTGTAACCTTTAGTGTGAGGACATGCTACCTTTAGAGCCAACAGTAATACCACTTCAAGAAGGGATGCTGTGTTAAAAGAGGATCTTGCAGCTCGCTCCCACTTTAAAATCAAGTGCATTGGCTCCACAGGATCTGCAGCCCCCAGGAGCCTGCTGGCTGGAAGTGTGAGTCAGCTCCAGAATTCAGATCTCTCAAGTGGTAGAGGTATGTCTCTATTTTCTACCATCACACAAGCTCAGACTTCCTGCAATCACTCTGCCAGATTGCAATTCAGGAGTAGAGCTGTTAAATTAAATTTATTTGGGGGGAGGGGAAGGGGATTTTTTTTTTGCAGTGTTCATTGTTTTCTGATCAGCTCTATACACACTTTCCTAATGTGCCTGAATCATTCTTCGGAGATTGCACACACTGAAATATTAATTTATAATATTTACACTGCTCTGATTTGTTCTAGTTAAAACTATGTTGTCTAGTGAGATGAAGTAATTCAAAGTACCGCTAAGTTTATATTCTCTAGTCTTTTACATAAGAACATAAGAATGGCTATACAGAGTCAGGCCAAGGTCCACCTAGCCCAGCATCCTGTCTTCTATCACTGGCCAATGCCAGGTGCTTCAGGAAGAGTGAAAAGAAGAAGGAATCACCAAGGGAACCATACCTTGTCACTCATTTCTAGCTTCTGGAAAACAGAGGCTAGTAGAATTGCCAGGTGTCCGGTATTCACCCGGACAGTCCAGTATTTTTGCCTCTTGTCCGGTAAAAAAATTCAGAGAATACCAGACACCTAAAATGTCTGGTATTTTCTGATATTTTCCCCAGTCAGGAGGCAAAAATGCTGGGCACCTGGCAACCCTACAATCACTCGGCAACCGGACTCCCCTCCCCAAGCCTCCTAGCTCCCAATAGCCCTCCAACTCCAGCCCCCATGCTTACCTGGTTCCGCAAGGCTGCCGGCACAAAATGGCTGCCCATCAAGGGGAAGCATTCCCCCTGGGTCTCAGTGCTCAGCCACTCCCCTGTCCCTATCCCTGCACTCACTCTTAACGGGGACATGCTGTTTTAATGCTGTTTTTTTTTTCTCAACAACTTTGGTCTCACCCCAACCCCCTGCTTTTTTCCCCTCTAACAGAATTTTTTCCTGTTTTTTTTGGGGGGGGGGCATGTTTGGTATTTTTGTTTCAACCATCTGGGAAAGCATCTCTGCCCATCTATGTAAACAACCAGTGTTTTGATTAAAACTATGAACTGAACTGAACTAAAAACTGAAATATAAAGTTAACATGGCATATGCTAATTGGATTCAAAACTGGCTGATAGGTCTCAAAATACAGTTATAAATGGGGAATCATCAATTGTGCATTTTTGTTTTCAGTGTAGTTCTACAGGGATCAGTTCTTGGCACTATGCTATTTAATATTTTTGATCAATGACCTGGAAGAAAATGTGCGAGAAAACTTGCATGGCAGCAGCACTGCTGAGAAGGATCTGGGATTTGTGGTGGATCATAACCTCAACATGCATCAGCAAGTCACAGGAGGTTATAGTACAACTCCAGTTGGCTCTGGTTAGGCCTCAGCTGGAATACTGTGTCCAGATTTGGTCACCAATGTATAAAAAGGATATAGAGAAACTGAAAAAGATCTAGAGGTGAGTGACAAAGATTGTCAAAGGAATGGAATGCAAGCCATGTGAGCAAAGGCTGAAGGAACTGGGTATGGTTAGTTTAGACAAAAGGAGCAGATTGAGGCGGGATATGATAGTAGTCTTCAAACTACAGCATAGCAGATATAGCTACATCCCAGGAAAAACTCCCTGTCAAAACAGGAGGACAATGGAGTAGCCAGTCTCAGGATGTAGTGGAAGCTTCTATACTGGAGATTTTCAAAAGGAGGCCATCTGTCTTGCATGTGTAGCCACAACAAATACTGCCTCTTGACAAAGGGTTAGATTAGATGTTCGTTGCAGTTCCTTCTAGCCCTGTGATTCTATAAAACCATCACTTATAAAGTTAGCAGAAGACACAAGTGGTAAATAAAGTAGAGGCCAGGTCACTGATTCGGATGGGTCTGGATCACTTGGTGAACTGGGCTCAAGAAAATCATATACATTTTAATATGTAAGTGTATACATCTAGGAACAAAGAATGTAGGCTCTGCTTATAGAATGAGGACTCTATTCTGGAAAGCAATGACTCTGTAAAAGATTTTGGGGGAGTCATGGTGTATAATCAGCTGAACATGAGCTCCCAGTAGGATGCAGTAGCCAAAAGAGCTAATGAAATCCTGCAGTGCACAAATAGGAAAATCTTGAGTAGGAGTAGAGAGATTATTTTACCTCCACGTTTGGTACTAGTGTAACTGCAGCTGGAATACTCTGTCCTGTTCTTGTGCCCACAATTCCAGAAGGATGTTGATAAACTGGAGAGGATTCAGAGAAGAGCGACCAGAATGTTAAAGGATTAGAAAACATTCCTTATAGTGATAGACTAAACAAGCTCAATTTATGTAGCTTAACAAAAAGAAAGGGGTGACTTCTTTACAGTATAAAAGTACCTAAGTGGGGAACCAACATTTAGTGGCCTCATCACTAGGGTTGCCAGGTGTCTGGTTTTTGCCCAGACAGTCCGATATTTGTGGCTCCCGTCCGGTAAAAAAAACCCCGAAAATACTGGACATGTAAAATGTCCGGTATTTTCTGCTTTCTCTGACAGAAGGCTGGTGGGGCCATTTCCCCCCTGCTTTGTCTGGTGGGGGCAGGTGGAGCAGAGAGTATGGGGATTTAAAGGCGCAGTGACTTTTTTTTGTTCAACAAGTTTGGTCCCCCTCCCCTTTTTTATTTCCTCAACCACTTTTTTCCCCGCCATGTTTGGGATTTTTTGTGAAAGGCAACCCTACTCTTCACTCCAGCACAGAAAGGAACAACAGGATCTAATGATTAGAAGTTAAAGCTAGACAAAATCATACTGGAAATATGATGTAATACTTTAAAAGTGAGACTAATTAACCAAAGATGGTGGTTGATTCTCCACCACTGACCATTTTAAAATCAAGATTAAATGTTTTTCTAAAAATTATATACGGAATTCTTCTGGGAAAGTTCTGTGGCCTGTGTTATACTATAGGTCAGACTAGATGATCACAACAGTCCCTTCTGGGCTTGGAATCTATGAACCAATCATGTTTAATCATATTTTCAAGGGGCGTACTATCCACATCCATGTGTCTGGATTAACTGCTGTTACAAACCAGGTTCTTCCAGAAGCAAGTTTAACAACAGTCATTAAACTTCTGTTGGGACCATAAAATCATCAACTAATAGGGGTTAGGGGAAGCTTTTGAGGATAAGGTGATAGAATTCTTAGCTAGACTTCAGGGAGCTCATTTACAGTTGATAATAGTAAACAAGAGGCTTCACTGTAATTGGAAATTATGTCAATGGTCAGGTAGGCTTTTTAGTGATAGATGGTCAATGGTCAGGTAGGCTTTTTAGGAACTCTAAAAAACAGTTACAGATTACACTGTGGTAAAGTTTAAGGGTTGGATTTTCAGAGGCACTAACTCTTTTATATGTCTATAGTGGAATTAGACACCCACAGCAGGCTTGGTCCAGCTGACTCAGGTTTGTGGGGCTCAAGTTAAGGAGCTGTTTAATTGCAGTGTAGACATCTGAGTTTGGACTGTAGCCAGAGCTCTGGAACCCTCCCACCTTGCAGGGTCCGTCAGTCCAGGCTCTAGCCTGAGCCTGGACATTTACATAACAAATAAACAGCCCCTAGCCTGAGTCCCTCAAGCCAGAGTCAGATAGTCCAGGCCAACTAAATTCAATGAAGACATACCCTGTGTGGCTTACTTAGGACACACACATCAGTCCCAATGACTTCAATGGAACACAAGCCTCTTTATCTTTTACGTGCTTTTTGCAATTCCACCCCGTTTTTATTATGTAGCAAATCTAGAGCTTGAGTTAGGCACAAAGAGATAAATCAAAATAAAATAGAACAAAAAACTGTGCATGGAGCAGAATAAAAAGCATTGATGTATTCCCAGCTTGTACACATCTTTGCTTATTCAGTGGAGGACTATCAAATCTCAAAAGATACAAAATAACTAAGTCACATGTTCACTGGGATTTAATAAATCAGTAATACCAAAAATGCCGTCTGACTCAGACAAACTCCCAAGCAGCAGCAAAGGAGAAAACTGTTTTCTCCCTTCATAACCACAAATTGCCAGAATTTGCTTTATATAAAAGCAACGAGGAGTCCTGTGGCACCTTATAGACTTAGGGCATGTCTACACTAGCCCCTTAGTTTGAACTAGGGAGGCTAATGATGGCGACCGAAATTGAGAATGAAGTGCGGGATTTAAATATCCCTCACTTCATTACCATGTTCCCAGGCGGTCGCCATTTTGGAAACTGACTAGCCCGGAATAACCGCCCGCATCTACACGTGGCAGTGAAACGGGAGTTCGAAGTAATCCCTTTAACTCAAATTAGCTGTTAATCCTCATTTCACAAAGAGTAACGGCTAATTCGAGTTAGGGTTTACTTTGAACTCCTGTTTCACTGCTGCGTGTAGACATGGGCAGTTATCCCGGGCTAGTCAGTTTCCAAAATGGCAACCGCCCGGGAACATGGTAATGAAGTGCGGGATATTTAAATCCGCGCTTCATTTGCAACTTCGGTTGCCCTCATTAGCCTCCCTAGTTCAAACTAGGGGGCTAGTGTAGATGTACCCTAACAGATTTATTGGAGCATAAGCTTTCATGGCCAAAGACCCACTTCGTCAGATGCATGTAGTGGAAATTCCAGAGGCAGCTATAAATATACAGACATAAGAAAAGAGTACCAATCAAGAGTAAGGCTAGAGATAACAAGGTCAATTCAGTCAGGGAGGATGAGGCCTGCTTCTAGCATCTTTATATATAAAATTTCTCTACAAAAAATGCCAGCACTGATAGACATAGGCCATTTCTATTCTCTCTATAAAAAATGGCTCTTTGTGTCTTACATAGCATACTCAGATCTATCCATCTTTCTGAGCACATACCGTGGCCTCCTCCTAGTACTTTGATGAATTTTCACCAAGGAAAACAGGACTGTTTATGAAGAATCTCATACAAGTCCTCTAAAATGGTCAGAAAGCAGTGGTGAAGTTTGCAAAAGAGATTAGTTTTCTTTTATGGGCTTTTCAAAACATTGCAATACTTATTAAGACTTACTTACCTACTACATTCATCAGTGAAAGTAACAACATTTCTTACAGGTACTGTCCTATTGCAACCCATGTCCCTGCCAGCTCTTTAAATAGCTCCCTGCTGGCTTTTGCTGTAGCTCAGCCAGCTCTTGCTGGAGCTGAGCACCTGGGTGTACCCGCTTACTTTCGTCTCTGCCTAAATCCAGTCATTTTGGTTTTATACCACAAGGATCTCTCTAAGGTGATGTTTTGGAATACTCAAGCAAAAATCTGCCCAGCCAAGATATAGATAATTTCTTAATATTAATAATAAATAGCTATAAATACTTATTTAGATGTACAGTCAAATGCCAAAATAATACACTTACTCATAAGAATTCTTACATAAATTAATACATCAAATAAGATCTACTTAAAAAAAAACAGAACTTATGTTTAGATTTTGACTAAGGATCAAACTCTGATCAGAGTGTGTTACAAGGCACACATGTACAGAAATTGGAGTTTTCTGTATGTATATGATAGCAGAAATTAACTAACTCTAGATCCATCAAATGGCAGAGATTTTTGTTTGATTAATAGTCAATTCAACATTAGTGTAGCACATACGATTCAGGAGTGGGATATCATTTATATAAAGTTGATTACATTCAAGTAAAATATTAATTTATAGATTCCCCCAATATCAGTTATTTACTATTTGTATCATTGTTTGCAGTGTTGTTATAGCCATGTTGGACCCAGGGTATGTCTACACTACAATGTTAATTCGAGTTAACTTAATTCGAAATAGTTAATTCGAATTAAGCTAATTCGAATTAATGCATCTACACAGACAATGCATTTCGAAAAAACATTTTGCTATTTCAAATAGCACATCCACACTGAGTAGACTCTGAATCGGAGTTAAGGCTGGCCAGTGCTGGCAGGGCACCAGTTCAGGACCTCCTGTGTGGGGCTGCTGCCTGAGGCTATCTGAGGTCCGTGCTTAAAGGGACCTTACTCCCCATCCCAGACAGCCAGTTCTCAGGTGTCTCTGCTTGCTTGTCTACCTTGATGAGGGACAGCAAAGCATTTGTGTCTTGGAGTGCTCTGGTTGCCCTCACTCGGGACACCCTACCACTCTGCAACATGGAGACAGAGCTGCCCCTGGGCACTCTGGTGCGTCTTGTGGATGCGCTGCCATCAGCTTGGCTGCACTTTCTGCAGGCTGCCATCCAGGAGGTCCATCGGGGGGCTGTCAGTATCCAGGGGGCCCTGTGGGAGAACTTCCGCCCTGAAGAACACTAAGAGCCTCCCTGGTCTGCCCCACTGCGGGCTTGTGCCTCATTCCTCCCTCACGTCCTTCCACTTACCCCTCTCTTGCCCCCCTTCCTGATGTCAAATAAAATACAAGTATTTTCAAAAATAAAAACTGTTTATTTAACACAACTGGCAGGGGGAGGGGATATACCTCTGGGGAGACTGGGGAAAGGAGGCAGGAGAGAGCAGGAGAGAGGGTGGGAGAGGGGAGGGGGAAAACTGGGAGGAGGGAGCTGGAAGGGGGAAGCAAGGGGAAGAGGGGAAAGGGGAAGCTCAGGGCTTGGGGTGAGGGTCTCGCCGGGCCACATGTCTCCCAGCATGGCAGGTGCAGGGGCCTCGGCATCCCCGGAGGGAAGGGGAGGAGTGTGTGGTGGAGGTTGAGGTGGGGGGGGGTGGAGATTGAGGAGGAGGGTGAGGAGGATGAGCAGGGAGAGGCAGGAGGGGGAAAAGGAGTGAGAGGAGGAATGGGATTTGGGGAGGCAGCAGGTGCAGGAGCAGCTCGAGGCAGCATGCTCTGCACCAGGGTCTGCAGATGGGCACAGATGGCACAACCCTGGGCAAGCAGCTCCCACCGGAACTCCCATTCTTCCTGCGCCTGCTGCTCCATGATGCGGGTCTGGTCTCGCAGGGCTGCCAGGTGCTGCTCTTGGTACCTCTGCAGTGTTGCAGTGGTCTGTCAGCTGAAGGTCAGGGCAGTGAGTCCCTTATGACCAGCTGAAGTTCTTTTAAATTGTGCTTGGTTCTGTTACAGCAACTGAAGGAGTCAGGTTAAAGCTTAAACAGTTACTATTTTATTGTTACAGGGTAAACTTAGTTGTTAAATGCTACTGCTGTGTTACAGATAACACAGTACCTCTGCAGTGTTGCAGTGGTCTGTCAGCTGAAGGTCAGGGCAGTGAGTCCCTTATGACCAGCTGA